GTTTCTTTTATTGTTAAATTTGGGTTTTGATGGGCTGGGCTATGAAATTGGGTTGGGACTTGAATTAAATTGTTGGTGGGCTCAATATTGGGATGGATTTGTGGATTTGTTTTGGTAGATTTCATCCTCAACTTTTTAATTTTTTCAATTGAGTCTTTTTCTTGTTATTTTTCTTGAATTTCTTCACAAAAATTTTTTATAACGATAAATCCAAAATGGTACACAAAAAATTTTAGTATCCAATACGTACCGTTCCAGTAGCAAAACAGGTACGTATGCCGGTACAGTATTGACAACTTTGCTTTTAACCCCTTACATATATGAATTAATGAAAATAACCCTCACTTAGCATTAGATTATAATGTTCTGTTAGTTCTGTTAGTTAATTGTTAACTCTGTTAACTGACTATTAACGTTTCATTAACATTCTGAAATTAACAAATAAAATTAAATTTAAATTTCATATTTTTTATAATAAAATGTTAACGGATACTAACAGTTAGCTAACATAGTTAACAATCAACTAACAGAGGTAACAGAACGTTATAACCTGATGTTAAGTAAAGATTATTTTTTTCAATTCATATATGTGAAGGGTTAAAAATATCATATTATAAGGAGCTAAAATCTACAAACTTATTAAGGTAAAAGACTAAAAATATCATAATATAAAGTAATGATTTAAAATCTACAAATTTATTAAAGGAAACTACTAAAATTAGGTTTTTGCCCTAAAATTATTAAAATATTCTTAACAAAACCTTTCTCTATGGTTATTCATTAATGGTAATTTACTAATTTTAATGTCCAGATTGCACTAACATGAAACTCCTAACTAAATGCGGAATACAACTGTAATTTGCAATAATCCACGGTTGTCATTGACGAGCTCTGAAGACACATGTTAATAAGACAAAATAAGTGCAAAACGCATTTCTAACAAATTTTAAAAACTCGGAGGAATTTAAACGAATGAAAATAGAGAAGGGATAATGCTAGCTTAAGAGAAAGGATTAAATTGATTAATTAATTTTAAGGCAGTCAATGAATGAGCACAGTTATTTAGAGAAAACTGGACTCAGCATCTCAAGTCTTACACAAAAGGGACAAAAGTCTTTGAGACATCTTTTATGTGGATTGGCTCAACAATGAAGATAGATAACATTGCCTTAATCAAGCGGCAAAATAAGTTTTAAGATTTAGCATTCCTTGTGAAGTCAATGCATGTTTGGCAGCCGCAATCAGAGAAACGACAGATTTCACACCCAAAACACACACAGGAAGTACAGCCTTTGCATGTTGGAGCGCGGGTACAGCCCCTATATACCCTGCGACTTGCCCGCTCTTCTTCATCATCACAAGTTATTCTGAAATACAAAAACCGAATGATTTTAGAGCTACAACATATAACAGCAATGAATGAAAGTATACAGCATTAGTGATGTGAACATGTATTTTGCAAATTAATGTACACTCAGGCAACTCACTTCTACCCTTCAAAACATTTATATCAATTTAAATTTCTACGCTGAATGAACATGGTTACATACACAAAAGAAATCCTCAATCCCTGATATAACCACAAAGCTCATCATATTAGAATAATTCACTAAAGTCTTGAAAAGAAAGGGAAAGCATAACTGATGAAGATAAAAGCAATTAATATACCCACTAAGATTTCTTCAGTTCAAAAAAAAAAAAAAAGGTCTAACCACTAAGGACGAAAATGTGCAACAAAACAATTTCACCAAGCATTGGATACCCATCCATCCCCCTTAACTACTGTTTGCAATTCTGTGAAACCAATCAATTAAACACCATAGTGCAGTGGTGGTTGACTGGAGGATTTGTTCATCCCTATTCTCTAGGATGCATTCAAGACAACATCATTCCTTGTTTGCTTTAATGGAATTGGCAACCAGGTTAGATGTAAATAACTAAATATATTCAAAACAGAATAGGCATATTGCCGATTGATAATCCATGAAATGTAAACATCTATCAGTATATTTAAACACTTCATCCTATTTTCAATAATTTATTTCAAATTGAAATTTTATATACACACCCCCAATAGACTCCAAAGGTTCATTGATATTTTCTGACCTTCCAATTTACAATTTTATCATAAAGATAAGTTAGTGACTAAACAGACCCGCTTGGAGGGGCATAAAATCAAGTCATACTCCTTATCACTGAATGATCTAGTAATTTTTGTACAGTTTATGTGCATACTTTTGTGACAATGATTTATATGTTTCAACAGATGTAAATCCAAGCTTAACTTCTAATTATAGAATTTAGCTTCATAAGGATCCAGGAGATCAAATGATGTTAATATGTTAGAAGTACCTAAAAGGAAAAAAAAAATCTGTTTTATATTGAGACTTCAAAGACATAGTTCTAGCATACTTTCCTTTAATTCTTTCTGTGCGAAAAGGAAGGGGGAACCAAACCCATTACTATCAATGGCAGTGACAGAAAGCAAGGTAACAATGGCAGTGTATGAAAGGATCGCCACCTATCATCTTAACAGTACAAATACAGAAAGTTTTATTTCCAAAATATATAACCTTGTTACATTTTTCTATATAAGTGAAATTGTATGCGATCAAACATTATAAAAATATATTCCTCAGGCAGCAACAAACTCATCTCAGATGTTAATCTTTGTGGGTTTTTGTTCTTACTGCTTCCATCATAAACAGAGCTATTTCTTGGAAGTTGGAACCTCTAAAACCATGTTTCCTCAACTCAATTGTGCAATTTGACATATTCAAATACCAGAAAATGATTGAAGCAGGAGCATCCAGGCAACTAAAAGTTGTAGCAAATGCTATTTCCTATTTACCCCTAAAAATTAAATGAATAAATGCAGAATAGGAAGAAGAAACTTTCCACCAAAAAGAGTCAAGAAAAATATAAGAAATAAGCACAGTAGGAGAGATTCAACCAGGGAAACTGGAAAAAAAAAAGGTTACAGAAGCACATTCTGATAATTACTATTATATGGCAATCATGAACTAACATTTTCATCAGAACATGCAAATACCACAGAACCTGGATTTTCCAACCAAAATGAAAGGATAAATTTCAGTGACATTATTTAGAATGATCATCAATCAATATGGTAGCAACAAATCATTTAAATCAGAATTTTACATTAACCCTTGGAAGCTTAAAAAATTTAGCGCACAATCAAGAAGGGAGACATACCTGTCATAAGGAAGATCAGAACACTGCCAGTTCACGTCTGCTAAAGCATCATGATGGATACGACATTCTTCTTTGGTTCGCAAGCGAAACCTGCGCTCCTTGTTACACTTGCTACAGCAAACAAATTCATCACGGTGACAAACTCGCCCATTTTGAGATCTATGAGCACCACTGGAACCTTTTAATGCTTGGTTGTAATATTTGAGCAATGCAGTCTTTGATAATGAAACCTTCTCTCCATTAACTATTACCCACACATTATTCTTCCATTTTCTAGCTGTCTCTCTTCCAGAATGCTTCTCAAATGCAGCAGGAGTCAACTTATCTAGTAATTAAAAATGTCAATTTCAGAATTAGAACCATAAAAGGACAAAAAATTCCCTACCAGACTAAGAAAGGTGGAATGAGATGAAATAAATATCCTAATCAGAAGTTAACGCACTTCAATTATATGCAAACCTGAATAGATTGTTTAGATAGATGATTAAAGCAGAGTTAGGAGAAAGTAAGAGACCTAGATTCTATAAATGCAGATGGAATAAGCAAGCATTTTCCAAGCACTGTGGTCAAGCTCATATCAAACAAATATACCTTTAACTGTATTGTATAGTCATCATATCGATTCTTTTAAGTAAGCAACAAAATTATAACTGCAATGAGGTAGGAATGTACACCAAAAATTATGTCTTTCAATTCAACATAAGTATATTTACTTCTCGCTAAAGAACATCATCTCCTCATCCACTTAAGTTTCCTTTAACTGAAACAAGATATGTAGAAAGCAAATTTACCAAAAAAATTGTAACATTTGACTATTTATACAAAACAGTGTCACCAGGGTTGAGAGCTCCTATTCTTCTAAAGCTAAGCCTGGATTCCAGTATTTCATATATGATTTAAAGCAAAAGGGATTCTGCAATGTCTGTTCTTTTCCATAGTAACAGAAAACTGAAAATATATGGTAATGTAAGTAATAAAATACCAAATATTAGAGGTACTGTTTGAACCTCCAAAAGTATTCCCACTAATTTCTCATGATACCATCTGTAATCAAAAACATAATATGAAAACAAAATATAACTCCGAAAAAGTGACCCCTGCAAGAAGATATTGACTAGTAAACAGTTTTCTTCACACCACCAAGAAGAATATGAGAAGAAAAATAAGCTACACCAACCACACTTTGCAATGGCATACCAACTAAATACACATAAGATAACTAAGACAAAACGGTAAGACAGAAATTTCTGCACTAAACCTCCTCTGTCTAGCCACAAGAACAGAACTCTATCATCAGAAACTGATTCTCGAGATGATGACTGGAATATATTATGATCCCACCAAAATATATAACATGGGTATTATTCTAAGGGTACACACACGAGGGTGAGGTCTTTAATCAAAGAAGATTTTCCTTGAATGCCTAAAGATGTGCCAGCATTACCATGCTGTATCATTGCCGAGGAAAACTCAGTCACTGAGACAAAACAACATACACATGAACTGTGTGACAGAAAACAAACAAACCTTAAAACTTCTCATCATTCACTAGACTCTCAATCCAAAACCATATTAAACAACAGAAAGCGACACCCATCAACGTCAGGTGCACCGGAACTTCAACACAACGCACTGAACAAACGCAGAAATCAAGACCCATTTTTCAAAGAGCATTGAAAGAGATAGAGAAAAAGAAGATGAAGGACTAAAAAGAGAGACCTTCATCGCAACCGGGGGTGCATTCACAGGTGATTTCAAGTTCACCATTTGAGAAAACCCTAAGCTTGCCAACAGCATCACCATATCTATGACTGGTACACCCACATGTGACCTCTACAAAATCCCCTCCTTTCTTCAATCCACTCAACTCCCACAACTCCTCCTCGCTAAACAACATCGACCCACCTTCTCTCTCTACCCCGTTGTCCATTGTCACTCTGTCTGTCTGTATTAGGTTTTTCTTTAAAGGAAAAGGAGAGAACTTGGAAACCCCAGCAAGAGTGAATCAAAAAATGAGCAAATGGGTATGGTTGAATCCGGGGTGGGGATTAAGAAGAGGAAAAACCCAGAAGCGGAGAATGAAGAGGACTCAAAAAGCACGCATCTTTAAGGGGTTAGTCCAAGAGATCTGATTGAGAAAACGTTGAATAGTGTATTGGGAAGCGAATGAATGAGCGGCGAAGGGAAACAAATGCCGCGGTGTGAAGGGATGGAGAGAGAGGGAGGAGTGGTTAAAAGCAGGCTTGTTAGGTGCTCCTTGCATGACATGACATAAGAGAGAAGGAGAGAAAAGGGGAGCGGCCGAGTGGGGTTTTGGCTGTGGTTTTGGTTTTGGTTTTGGCTTTGGCCTTGGCTTTGGTGTTGGGGTCAGGGGAGCCTTCGGTCTTAAGGGAAAAACCCTCTCATCTCATGGGGAGACGAGGTTTATTGAAATTAGTGTTGAACTAATTTATTTATGTAATTTTCCTCTTTTTTCTCCAATGCTACTTTTGTTTATTTTCAAGCTGACTCATGAACTGTTTGCATTGCACTCTTTCCTATTGAATCTAAAGTACCATGTCAAGACAATTTTTTTAAAAACTATTTAGCTGAACTTATAAGTTTTTCCTTTGAAAACTTTTGTAAAAATATGTGTTAGCGTTGTGTTAGTTATATAATTTTTTAAAAATTTTTAATTTATATTTTTAAAATAAGTTTAAAATGTAAAAAATATAATTTTTATAAATTTATATTAAAAATTAAAAATAAACTTTTAATTTATCTCGTCTTATTACAACAATATTAAAATTAATTTAATTTTTATATTTTTATATAAATTTATAACCAAAAGTTATCTTAAGAAATAAGTTAAAAAACCTATTTTTTAATAATTATTATAAAAGGTAAATTTAATTTAATTTTATTAATTATTAAATTAAAATCATATACATATTATTTATCTTAAAAATGAAATTACATAATTTTTGTACTTTTTATATAAATTAATTAATAAATTATAATTGATACACTTTTAACTTGACAAACCATTTCTTTTAAGGAAAATTTTTAGAGGAAGAAAATATACCACAAGCAACAATATTTACTTTTTATGAAGGTGCTTTTTGCCATAGGTTAAATTCAGGAAGTAACTGCCATTAGAAATCTTTATAAGATTGTTTAGCTTATAAGTTTAATAAGGGGTGAAGAACATATTGTTTTCATTAAAATTAAAAGATTTATGAAAAAAAATTTTATTCTACCTTGTTGAGACCCAAAATTCGGTTATTATTACCTTTACAACAGAAACATCTCAAGGAACAGTGACTGTGGAGCTCCACAAGCCATAATCCAAATATTTTCATTACTCTAGTTGGCCAACCACACCCACACAACAAATGGGTAAAAATCTATTTTTAGCCTCTCACATTGTCAAATTTGAAGATTTTAGTCCATTACCTTATATTATGACATTTTTAGCCCCTCACCTTACTAAATTTGTAAGTTTTAACCCTTTATCTTATAATATGACACTTTTAACCCCTCATCTATTAAAAATGAAGAAAATAACCCTCACTTTGTAACATTTACTAGTTTTGTTAGTTAACTGTTAACTCTATTAACTAACTGTTAGTTAACTGTTAATTGTCAAAAACCTTTTTTTTTTTCGGTTAACAGAATTAATTTTATAATATTTCGTTAATTCTGTTAATTTGTTATTAGTTGACTGTTAGTTGATAAAAATATACTTTCAGCTAACAAAGTTAACAATCAGTATAAAGTGATGGTTATTTTTTTCAATTTTAATAAGTGAGGGCTAAAACCTACAAATCTAGTAAGGTGATAGGCTAAAAATGTCATAATATAAGTTGAGAAGCTAAAACTTTCAAACTTGATAAAGTGAGGGGCTAAAAGTACATTTTTGCCCAACAAATGTGGCAAACACTAAAATTATAAAGTTGAGGAAAATAGAGAAAAGTGAAGAAGAGACAAATAAACACTTGTTTTATTTTAACGAAAAAGTGTTATATAGTTTAGATTGTTTCGAATTATAAAACAATAATTCTTTGTTAGGGGAAAGCCCCTTGATATTAAGAGTTCTTCCTTATCTAAGGGTTCCTATTTTACAATATGGAACAATTCAAATCATAAAATAGTGCACCCTTAGTTTAATTACAAAGAGTAATTACACATAAATGTAATTTTTTATTATTTAAAAAAAAAACGTGTTGTTCAAATTGCATAACTTAAGTTTTGGATAGTGTACAAACCCCTTGATTATGGGGTTTATCCTCCATCTAATAGTTCTAAATTTGCATGACTAATGATAGGATTAATTAACCTTAACAAAGCATAGAGAGAAAGTTACTAAGAGGGTGGCAGTTCTTTGCCACCATCCCCCCTAACTCTTCTCCCTTTCCTTTGCTCCCTTCCATCCTCTTTCCTCCCCAACTCTACTCAACTTGATCCCCCATCTTTGTCCCTTCTCCTTTTCCCTTTGGCATGCCCTTTTGCCTACCCTTTCTTCCTCCATTGTCTCCCTTCCAACTCGTAACTTTTCTCCTTTGCCCCTTCCCAATCTTTTGATCATTTCTTGCACTCTTTTGCTTAAGGCAAACTTCTCTCAATGCCACTTTTAAAAACACTAGCAATAGGATTTTAGCATAGGTCGGGTCTTTCCCCTTCAAGTACTACAAGATGAGGAATGAGAGTCAATGGTGGCAAAGGAGTCTGGATTGGCAAAGGCTAATAGTTGGAAGGCAAAGATTAGCAGCATAGGCTTGTAGATGGGAGGTTGATCAAGGAGATGTATATCTCCCCTGAGATAAAACTACCATGGATGTGGTAGGGTTTTTAGTGGGCGAGGACTATTGATAGCCCAAGTACTTGCTCTCCCTAGAGGCTAGCATGATAAAGGGGTGATCAAGTAACTAACAATGTTCATAAAGGTAACCTTACCATGTTTGTTGCTTTGTTAATGTCTCATATAGTGATTGAATCTTTAATCTTTAGTTATAGTTAGATTCTCTATACCTTAAGTGTTTTATTTGTTATGGGCATCAATTCCTTTGTAATTAGTACTATAGGGTAACTTCATCATCCTTTAGGTTTTACACAACGCATATGTATGTTTACTCTTTTATTAATATAATATTTCTTTTGATTCAAAAAAATATTTCTAAGGTTGCAGTTGAAATTGCAAAACTAAAAACTTTATGTTCTATCATTTTCTTGTATTTTTCTTTGATAATTTTGGATTATTCATATATTATACTTCCTTCATTTCTCTCCCTGCTCCATTCTTTCAATTCAAACATAATCCAAGTCTTTTATTTAAAGGGTAATTAAGTATTGGCTAGGGGTCTAGGGGAGGAGAAGTGCAGAAGTCCGGCCTTTGCCCTGTAGTCTGGGGAACACACTCATCTTTAATCTCACTCGAAAATGATTCGTTTGGGTATTTGACATTTCACCCATTTGCCATTGCGCATGCATTATCCTCAACATCTCCGATTCTCCGGAATAAATGGATACCAAAATATTTACCCAAAAAAAAACCAAAATAAAATAGTGCAAATGATTTCGTTTGTGCCCCTATAAGAAAAGTCTTGTATCTTGTGTTTTAATTTAAACATTAAATATAATTGGCAAAAAAAACACTGTTTAGTTAGACTGATAATTAAAATTACAATTTTTTTATTTAATAAATAACTAGTTAAAATATATGAAGAGATATTTTTATAAGTTAATTTTAAATTAGATACCATATAAGATATTAAATATTAACTATTATTTATCAAATTAATATTTATTGTTATCAACTATTTTTAACATCATAATCAAATAAAGTAATAATCTTTTCTCTCTTTTTTTTTCAAATTTTTTTAGTTTTCTTTAAAAATTTTTGAATAGCTTTTTTTTAGTTTTCTTTGTAAAGACACAAGCGTGGCATTGGCATGACATGCAGCCACAAGCTTTTGATTATTCTCCTCAAAATTTATAATTTGCTAGAGAAAAGTGCAACATACACCATAGACCAAGGTTATAAAAATGATCCGAAACCACACTAAGCCAATTGGAGCTATTTTGCTTTTCCGGTAGTGGGATAAACTGACTCAACTTGCACAATCATATTAAACTATTAATATTTTAGAGACACCAAGAAATTTATGTGAAATCAATTTATTTATTTTTATAATTTTTTTAGCTTTGATTAAAAATTGATAAAAAAAAAAAAAGTTCAATTCTCCCATCAACAAGAATAACATTAAATTAAGATTTTACAGCAATATATTAATTTAATTAAATAAAAAATTTTCCTTTCTTTCCCGTACTCTTTATTTTCTTTGACATTTGTATGCGTGCATGATGAAGAAAACATGCCTTTTAATGGAAGATGTATCATTGAGGAAAAAATTAATAAAAAGCTACATTAAAAAGCTAATATACCATAATAATTTTATACCCTACAAAAGTGGGGGATTTCAGCACCAGACAACAATTATTTTTGTTTGTTCTAACAAGAGCCAATAATCAAAATGATCATCAAACTGTACTTATTCAAACTTTTATATACTATTCAAATCTTTTTTAATCTCTTTCAAGTTCATGGGTCATAATCAGATTTATAAAATGTTATGCTTCAAACAGAATTATTTTTCAGAAAAAGAAAATTCAATGCCAGCCTAGCTTCGAGGCTGGAGACACCTGTGTGACAATAAACAAAAGGATTCCAACATTTATCATTCTTTGTTGAATTAAAAAGAGAAAAGCACCAATAATATCTCCCCTGCTTTTTTTCTGTGAACACAAAATGTGTTAGAAAATCGAGTCAACTCCAACATTCAATTTAAAAATAATTGTTAATAATTTATTATGTTTCATAAATTTTTTTATTAACTAATTAATGTGATTTTTTTTTTTATCAAATAGACAATCTGTTTTTATTTTGTCCCAAAATACATATATGAGGAACTCCATGTTGAGGCCCAATGGCCACAATTCTTGATTTAAGTGGAGATTACCTCACTGTTTAAGTCCCATGTATCATATTCCCTATTTCTTTAAATTATCCTGTTTTTTTTTTTTTAAAAAAATACATATAGGAGAGTTCAGCATATGTAATTGCACCAAATCAGAAGTCCTTCCTCAGTCCGCGCTTGCACTCCGGGATGACCTGCAAAGCCCTGAGGTGGAACTCGGGGTAGACACTCCGATGCTTAAGTCAGCAATAATCGGGACTACCTTTAGGGCGGAGATAAAAAGAGTTTAGGGTTGGTTTCAATTACCTTT